TTCTAGGCTTGAAAAGCACCGTGTGAAAAAGCCCTGCGGAGTGGGTGTGGCACGGCTGATGTTGTGTTCTGGTGCGGACCGCTGCCGGTTGGGTCTTGTTGTGAGGTACCATGGCGAGGACTGTGGGACCATTAATGCATCTGCCCATGAGCTACGAATACACTCTTCTCCTGATATATCGAAATACAACGGAATCCTCAAAGGCAGTGAGTAGGATTGCTTGTACATGTATAGCAAACAACACTAGTTTTGTTTTTTTCACGGCTGAGCGTAGCGAAAGAGTGCAACAAACGTATTTTTCACTCGCAAATATTTTCGTGCGTTTGCTCTTGTTCTGCGCAACTCCGTTGAACCTGCCACCGTGGTCTTTGTTTCTCCTCGTGGAAGTTGAAGGCTTCTTGAAGCCACGCACATCGGCATGGAATATCAAGAAGAACAGCGGAAGACCGCCATGAAACCAGGGTGGGTGGGCGGGCAACTTCAACAGTTGCGCAGAACAAGCAGAACAAGAGCAAACGCACGGAAATATTTGTGAGTGAAAAATACGTTTTTTGGACTCTTTTGCTACGCTCAGCCGTGAAAAAACAAAACTTTTCACTCACAAAGCAACTGTTCAGTACATGGGGTAGTGGTCTACCAGAGCAATCACGCTCACGATGTAAAGGATAGTGAGGCAGCGAATTTGACCTCGATTCACCTCAAATTGCACAATTCTCCGATTCATAACTTTAGTCTCCTTTTGCCGATTTTTGAGACTTTGGGTTTCCTGGAAGGCTCGTCGCAAGAGGAACACACTGAGCCCGCACTTGCCACCACGAAGGTCAAACCACCAGCGCTACAGCCCAGCGTCTTAGTTGCAATGCCAGTATTCCGACAAAGTCCTCCTGTGACAGCCATTTCGCTCTCCTCGCTCGTAACAACTTCAATTTTTTTTACAAACTGCCACGAGTCCGTTTGCCATTTTGAACGCGTTTCCACGTCACTGCATCCCCAGAAAGATGGGGAAATCCCTCATTCAAATCTGCGCACACGGCTATGGACTGATTGCCATTTGTACAGATCCACAAAATCTCGTAGAATCCCGTAGACCCGGAAGGGTGTTCATTGTGTGCTATGCATGCGCATTTGACCTTTCCAGCGTCATAATTCAATGACCAGCAATCACTTTTCCAGCTTCTTCACTTTGGTTAGAACTAATAACTAGCTAGATCTTTGTCAGAAAAAGGTTTTCGTATGAAATGCCTTCAGGCCCCATTTCTTAGTGGAAATAGCAGAAAACACAATAGGGTCCTGCACATTCAACACCCTACCGGGTCTACTCTAGATTCTACTCTAGATTCTACTCTAGATTCTACTCTAGATTCTACTCTAGATTCTACTCTAGATTCTACTCTAGATTTCACGAGAACCACAGGCAGTAGGACACTGACAGCTCGATGTACTAGCGCTGAGAGTGTTCAAACTGCTAGAAGCAGCGGGCAAGGCATAAAGCTAACCAGCGCAAGTGCGATACATTCTTATGGTAGTGTAGTGTGAACTTGAGGCGCGTAAGAATATTCTTGCTGATTCTCTACCCCCAGTATAAATTCTGGCTTCGTTTTCGTTCTTGCTCATTCCCATGTAACTACTGATGAAAATGGGTGAAAAGCTTTTAGTATTATGAAATTGACAACCTTGTTGTTGTGTGTATATAAATTTTGTTCGCCTACCTCTCTATTTAAATATATGTAGGACTCAGTATAGAGTCCATGCACTATATGATGTCCAGCACCCTATATAGAGTCCATTGGTCCAAAATCCACTATACAGAGTCCAGGAGTCCACTCAGTTTTGATCAGCTTCATCCTGCCGCGCAATCCCCTATAAGGAGTACACTTTTTCTACAAGTCCCCTATTCACAGTCCAGGAGTCCAGTTTATCCAGTCACGCCGTCCTGTGTGTTGTGCCCGAAACTTCGCGAAAGAGAACAAACACATTTTCAGTTTTGCTTGCCTCGTGGCAGCGCATTCCTTTCTTCACTTCAGCCATGGCTGCCAGTAATCTGTCTCGAGGTAACCAAGGAGGATAAGGAGACGTTCAAAATCAAATCTGGAAAGCGTCTTGTGGTTCTCTGAAGACGTTTCATCAGTGCGGGGGATGAAAGCAGAAATTGCAGAACGAGAAAAGTTCAGCACAGTTCAAATCTGACGAGTCAGGTACGCTGACACTCTCTTTCGTTCGACGCCACAAGGATCCCCTGTTTGGCTGGCCATTGCTGCCAGTAAGACGTTTGAACGGTTTCATCAGAGCGAGGGATGAAAGCAGAAACGGAGAAAGAGAAAAGTTCAGCACAGTTCCAATCTGACGAGTCAGATATACTGACACTCTCTTTCGTTCGACGCCACAAGGATACCCCTGTTTGACTGGACAAGAGCTGCCTGTACCACCGTGTCAAAAGGCTGTCCAACTACATGGCAGGACGATGACTGAGGTAAGGAAGCTTTTACTCGTTTCGATTGGTCTGCTGTTCTGTCGTTATGCTTGAATTTTTTCCCATTTTCAAGGAGCGTATCGCGTTTGTTCGGTTTACACAGAAGTAATGTCCAATGTAAACGGCATATGTACATACTATTATATTACAATAGTATTCCTTTCTTCCTATAGCGAAGCAAAAACAGTTTTAGGTATGCTATGTCGTGATAAATCTATTATTGCCCTCATAATCGGTCAATATATGAAATATAGACCTCGTAAAAGACCTCGGGGGACCTCGGTCTTTTACTCGTTCTATATTTCATATATTGACCTCTTTAATCGTGCAATAATAGTCTTATCGCCTTCTTAGTATTTGACCCCACTAATTTCCCTGATACCTAAGCGGTCAAATTGCGCGTATTTGACTGCTTAGTCAAATACATGATATATTTGACTACTTATATTATGACTCCTTAGAGTCTTTGTGGTCCACTTCACAACAATAACACACACAAAAGTCTCTACTGTGAGCACGGTGGCTCGGCAATGGCTTTATTATTGATATTATTATATCTCCTTCCTGATATTTTTCTTTTTTGAATAATTGTACGCATAGGGCCTGATATCATAAGAAAAATTAGCACAAGACACTGCTGCTACTGTAGTCGCACAGCAAAACACACAGAAAACGACAAAATGTTACAATGAATGTAACAACACCCGTCCAAGCTAAAGGACCGACATCCCTGCCCCAGGACGGCATCTCGAAACCCCCACACACTCACCACACGGTCATCATCCAGCTTCAGTTCAATCACTGTATTCTTCCCCTGCAGACTCAACCCCCCTGTCACTAGCCATACAATCTGAAGCTGTATGTAACCATACAATGGCCCACGACGCACACACCACCCCTACGTTTTTTAACTAAAAGAGAAAAGCAGTCGTAACTGCAACAGCCACATGGCCAATAAGAAAAACCAATACGATAATATATCGATAAACACACACCCAGAAGTCAGGGGTGGGAGGGTGGGATACAAGCTGCACCAACGAAAAGCCACTGCGAAGTGACAGGAATGCGGTCCAGAACAACATTTTTGCGGACGCAAAAAGTTGTGGGTAAATCCCAAAATCGGTGCGATTTTGCATGAGCCCAAATGTTCAGGTTAACCACAAAGACACAAGCTTTCCAACTCTCTTTGGCCGTTGGAAAGCGTACCACTTCTTGGACTTAGAAATTTTCTCTCCAACTTAGAAAAAGAAATTTTTGAAGAAAGCAGAAATACACAAGATGGGATTTGAACCCACAACCTTGCGAATCTCAGTCACTCTTCCTTACCACCCAGCCACTGTGCTACCGATGCTAAACCTAGTTTAAAGGGGAAGTATACCCTAAAATCAAATTTTCACCAGTTGTAGTCTTCGGGGTGCTGAGTCGAATGGTCTTGGTCCGAGGAAGCTGAGACGCTCCCTTCCTACTTGAATCCCAATCGAACTCGCGCACTTCCACCGAAACTGGGTGACTGCGCCCTACTAGATGGGGATTTGTATGCAAAATGTCACTAAAAGCGCCATTTCGTTCTTATAAAAGCACGGATGACCGCGATTGGCCCATATGTTGTAATCTTTTGGACGCTGAGTCGACTGGTTTTGGTCCGAAAAGGCTGCGATGTAGCGTTCCTCCTTTATTCCCAATCGAACATGGTTGAACAAGCGGTCACGTGCTCCTGCGTACACCAGTCACCTGGTCACCGTGCCTGCAGGGTACAACTTACTAGCCTGTTTGACCTTTTTTGGGTGCAGTCCTGTCACTCGAGTTGAACTCGAGTTGAACCTTGGTGTGAAAGTTGTCGCCTGCTGGCGCGGTGACCAGGTGATTTGGGCATCCAGGAGCACGTGACCGCTTGTTCAACCATGTTCGATTGGGAATAAAGGAGGAACGCTGCATCGTAGCCTTTTCGGACCAAAACCAGTCGACTCAGCGTCCAAAAGACTACAACATATGGGCCAATCGCGGTCATCCGTGCTTTTATAAGAACGAAATGGCGCTTTTAGTGACATTTTGCATACAAATCCCCATCTAGTAGGGCGCAGTCACCCAGTTTCGGTGGAAGTGCGCGAGTTCGATTGGGATTCAAGTAGGAAGGGAGCGTCGCAGCTTCCTCGGACCAAGACCATTCCTCGGGGGACCTCGGTCTTTTACTCGGTCTATATATCCTGTATAGACCTCCTAACTGGTCTATAATCTATACATATATTATGCTCAATCTGCGCCATATATATATTATGCTGTGTAGTGGATCTGGGACCAATGAGCATCACATAGAGGCCAGTCTGCCTACTGAGTCCAACATATAGTATAAGGGGTCTAGATGGCGCACTTATGAGAACAGAACTTCTAATCAATGATGCACACACCCCATGTACTTTGTCCGCACCCCTCTTCCTTGTGAGAAGAAGATAATTACACACGGTACGCAGTACGTTGCAGTAAGAAAGCATTTGAATGAATGGGCAGTGCGTGGGGCCAGGCAGCAGCTCACCTTGTCCTGAGATGCAAAGTTGCAATCATGATGCTGAGTTGACCAATAGCAGTAGTCATATGTGAAAGACTTAGTTCCTTGCACTACTGGACCAGCACCTCCTGTAGAAGCTCTTCCCTGCCGTACAAAAAGAGTGACATACATTTTGGCACTGTCTGCATTCAGGTAATATCATATATTATTATGTGCAATAATCCAAGCACACTGAACAGTGACTACACACTCAATAACTTGAAGACCCGGAATTCATGAGTGCTCTCTCACTCTCTCTCCCTTTTTCTCTCCATCTCTCTCTCTCTCTACTTGTCTATCTATCTATCCCTCTCTATCTATCTATCCCTCTCTCTTTCTGTCCTCTCTCTCCCTCTCTCTCCCTCCCTCTCTCCCTCCCTCTCTCCCTCTCTCTCTCTCTTTACTCTCTCTCTTTACTCTCTCTCTCTTTACTCTCTCTCTCTTTACTCTCTCTCACTTCATTCACTGGTTTTTCGACCAGAAACCACCACCACCTCCACCAAAACACAAGAATGCAAATAAAAACCGTGCAGTGGAAAAACTCCGGGCTCACAGGCGTGATTTAAAGCGCCAATTTCGTAAGATCAAAAACTCGGACGAAGTACCTGCAGCGCTCAGAAATGAGTATTTTTCAATTGGAAAACAAATCAAGCGTCTTTTGAAACAACAAAAGATGTACGACGATCGATCCCGGAACAAGAGGGACCAGGATGCCTTTCTCAAGGACCCATATGCCTTCGGAAAGAAATTGTTTCAACCAACCAACCATGTCAAACCCACTTTCTCTGACACTACCTGCTTTGAGTACTTCCAACACACATATGCAGACCAGGATCGTGCCACTTCGTACGAATCCTGCCCCAGTGCAGGGAAGCCCCGGGATTGCACCCACCCAGTCGATGAGTGGACCCCTACATGGACTGAATTTCAGAATGTTTTGAAGAAGTGTCGCAACACCTCTGCACCGGGTCCTGACAAGATACCTTACATAGTTTGGAAGCTTTGTCCCTCCCTTCAATCCATTCTTTTCACCATCTTTGGGCGGGTTTGGGAGAGCAAGATCATTCCAAGGCAGTGGCAGGTAGCGTGTATCACACTCCTGGCCAAGGGGGAGGTGTCTGATGATCCTTCGAAATTCCGACCGATTGCTCTAGCAAACACGTCCGGGAAGATCTTTTTCACCTTAGTTGCAAAGCGCCTCTTGAAACATATGCTAGGCAATAAGTTCTTCGATGGTGACAACCAGAAAGGATTTATGCCTGCAAAGGCTGGGTGCTTAGCATACATGACTTTGTTATGAGGCGATGCGTGATGCAAAGACGGCAAAACGCCAAATTTGCATTGCGTGGATAGATTTGAAGAATGCATTTGGTTCAGTGCGCCACAATCTGATACAGTATGCTCTAACCCACTACAGCCTTCCTTTGCAATTCAGGAAATTAATTTTTTCCTACTACGACAGTCTTTGCGCTTTCGTCGTACAACCACACACCCCCACCTTTAATTACAACATTGGTGTTTTCCAGGGGTGCCCCTTGTCCCCGGTCCTTTTCAATATTTGTTTCCAGCTTCTGCTGGACTCACTTGCAGCCCCTGAATTAAGTTGCCTCTCCTATGATTTTAAATCTGCCCCTTTGCAAGTGTCCCAAACAGCTTTTGCTGATGACTTAGGCCTCTATAGCAAATCTAGTGCAGGTTGTCAAAAACTCATTGCGGTCACGGAGGACTTTCTCTCGTGGACCCAATGTATGCAGGCGGCGCCGCACAAATGCAAAAGCAGTGCAGCAAAGCTTGTAGATGGCCGGTACAAACCTTACGATCCCTGCCTGACGATGTCAGGGAGGAAGATCGCTTTCATTGACACTGCAGAGTTCAAGTTCCTGGGGCGAAGGCTGCATGCTGATTGCTCTGAGCAGACCCAGCGGGAAGACATCCGTCAACTCACTGTATCTCTCATGCAAAAAGTAGATGGCTCTTGGCTTCAAGACCACCACAAGCTATGGCTTTACCACCATCTTGTAGTGCCCAAGCTTTCTTGGTCTTTCCAGGTTCTTGAACTCACACAAGGTTTTGTACGTGAACTGCACTTTATGTGTTTACCATTTCTGAAGAAATGGTCAGGCCTACCTCGATGCGCAAACTCTGCCATTCTTTTTATTGGCAGTCGCAAACGCTTTGGCTTACGCCTCCACTACCTTCCTACGGTGTGGAAAAAGTGCCAGTCCATCAAATGGCACATTCTTCGATCGAGTGGGGACGCGCGCATGAGGGCGCTGTACACTCTGCGTCGGAGTAAGGATGCGAAGCTGACAAAGCGATATGCGGCGACAATAGAGCTGGAGTGTGCAGAGGCATCAGTAGGTTCAGGGACTCTCCGTCCACCGTCATCTTCAAGTCATCGTGCAGGGTTGGGTGCTCGTGCTCCGAAGCAGCATTCCAAACCCCCGAGGAAGGATCTCCTTCAAACATTTGAGGAGATCAACGCGCAGGAGCAGATTTTGAGGCTGAAGACTCTTCAGGTGCAAGGCAAGTGGTTGGAGTGGACATCGGTGATGTGGCAGGACCTCTCGTGGAAATCCCTTTTGTACGGTGGTACTGGTAAGGATTTGAAATTTCTTCTCGCATCAACCCTCGACGTGCTACCTTCTCCGACGAACCTACGCCGTTGGGGAAACACTGTAGTGGATCCGTACTGTAGTTTGTGCCGTACCTGGGCCTGTACTACGCGCCACGTGCTTGGCGCTTGTCGCGTAGCGCTGGACCAGGGACGTTACACCTGGAGGCACGACAACGTACTCGGGGTCATCGTCAGGACCATGCGTGAGGAGATTCGAATCCGCACTGCTGCAAACACCGTACAAACCGAAAATTCAAATGAGCTTGACTTCATCTCGTTTTGCAAAGCGGGAGAGAAGCCAGTTCGCGTTCAGCCCAGACGAAAGTTGGTTACGACTGATCTCCTGTCAGCGGCCTCAGACTGGAAACTTCTTGTCGACTCAGTTAGTGCAAAGATTTCTTTCCCTAGCTGTGTTGCACTTACCACCCTAAGACCAGATATAGTTCTGTACTCTACGAGTCGTAGGATTGTATTCTGGATGGAGTTGACAGTTTGTGCTGAGGACAGATTCAGTGTCAGTAACTCGCGGAAGGACAGGCGGTATGCGGATCTGGCCGATCAATGCCGAGCAAACGGGTGGCAGGTCGTTTCTTTTTCGGTTGAGGTAGGTGTGCGTGGTTTCATCCCGGACTCTCTTCGGAGGGCTCTGAAAGCGCTTGGGTTTTCTAATCGAAGAATAAAATTTATTTGTAATTTGTGCAGTAAGACGTCTCTGCGAAGCAGCTACATCATCTGGTTGCGGCGTCAGCAAAAACACTGGTCGGAAGATCCACTTTTCTGAGGTACTGTATGTGGGGCTCCGTTTGAGGTGCGTTGAAATTTATTCTCTTTATCTTATTATTTCTTTTCTATAATTTCCCCATATGAGTTCCTATCAGTTGCTGTGAACACCTTGAGTGGAGAGCGTGTCGTGACTCGCGACATCATAAAGATCCCGACTCAACGGACATGAAAGACATTTACGTTTCTTGATTTGGAAAGTTTGTTTCTTTGTTTCTTTCTCAAACAAGATTCAATTTCAACGGAAAAGGGCAGCTGCATTCACAGGCAGCTGCGCACAAAGAACATGCATAAAAATGGCGACCACGACCTTCATTTACGTGGCATGGTAACAAAAGGAACTAGTGCAGCGACAAAACAGAAATGGAGAAGAAGTGAACAGCAAGGAGAGCGAATCGCTAAAATGCACTAGCCTACTGTCTGTACAGTCATGGAGTTAGTGAACACGCAGTCACGTGGTCACGTACACATAAACGTCATACCAATACGTCATCATGGTCATGCATAACAAAAGGAAAGGAAAGGAAAGTCACGCGTGAGCAAAACAAATCAAGAGCGCGAAAATACTCACGGGACGAAAACATAACGAAGAATTTGTTTGTGAACAAAATGCAAAGAATAGAGAAACGAAGGATTGCTTCGAAGCTACTTCGAAGTAGAATGAAATCAATCACTAGAAAGGACGATGGGGAACTAGACTTCGGCTAACCCAAGCGTGGAATCAGCCACAACGTAAGCAAGCAAGAGAGTACAAAATCATCGTCATGTAATGCAAATTAATAATTGGTTATTCCGAATTCATGTACATGTATTTCATCGCGACGTTCGCGACACTCCCCACAACAGAGAAGAAGAGCGATTGTAATTGCAGTAGTGTAGACAAAGTGTAAATGAGTGTGTGGTGATTGCTTAGTGTTCAACAAGAGAGTGTACTGTGTATAAATACATTCATGCAGACTATTTACAGAGTTTACAGAGTTATACTGCACCTTGACTTATTAGGTTCTTCAGGTTAGCACGGGAACCAGCGGCTGCTCGGCGTGTTGGTCGAGCTGGTTGTTGCTGTGTAGGTTGTGCAGGCTGTACAGGCTGTGCGGGTTGTGCGAGCGGCGGGTCATCGTGCGCTGCATCGTGATTCTCCGCTTGCACAATTGGGTACAACAGACATAGTGGACGTTGGATCTGCCGCTTGGATGGCAGAACAACTGTTGCAGATCTGATTTCACCATCATTACTGTTGTGCAGTTTGTCAATTCGTCCAATTAACCAAGAGCCGCGTGGCATCTTTTCTTCCTTGACTAGGACAACAGTATCCACAGCAGGTGGATCATGTGCTTGCAGTCTTCCATGCGGAAGTGCAGTCTGACCACGTTCACGTAGCGTGGGTAGATAGGAATACTGCCATTCTGACCAAAAAGTCTGTAGTAGGCGTTGACCATCCGTCCAGGCAGTTAGCAATGTGTTAGCCAAAGACGTGTCAGGCTCAAACGTCGGGTCATTACCAAAGTCTCCCTCCATACCAGGAGTGCCCAACTTCGGGTTTAAAGACAAGAAATGGTTGGGAGTAAGAACATTACCAAAATCCAATTCGTTTCCAACGTAGACCAGTGGACGTGCATTAATCATCGCCTCCGCCTCCATTAGAAACGTATTGAGCATATCACGGTTTGGAATTGAAGTGCCCACTGTCTTTCGTAGGACCCTTTTCACTGATTGTACTAAGCGCTCGTATGCGCCGCCCATCCATGGAGACAGCTGTACTATGAATTTCCATTGTATTCCATTCGTAGCACAGTACGAAGTAAAGTCATCGGTGTGGTTCACGTCATTCCAAACTTCACCAATGACGTTCGAGGCAGTGTGAAATTGTTTTGCATTATCTGACAAAACTTCAATCGGCGTACCTCTACGGGCAATAAATCTACGAAAGCCCAGTAGAAATGAGGCTGTTGGGTTTCGGCACCAAATTTTCATGTCGTGACTCGCGACATCATAAAGATCCCGACTCAACGGACATGAAAGACATTTACGTTTCTTGATTTGGAAAGTTTGTTTCTTTGTTTCTTTCTCAAACAAGATTCAATTTCAACGGAAAAGGGCAGCTGCATTCACAGGCAGCTGCGCACAAAGAACATGCATAAAAATGGCGACCACGACCTTCATTTACGTGGCATGGTAACAAAAGGAACTAGTGCAGCGACAAAACAGAAATGGAGAAGAAGTGAACAGCAAGGAGAGCGAATCGCTAAAATGCACTAGCCTACTGTCTGTACAGTCATGGAGTTAGTGAACACGCAGTCACGTGGTCACGTACACATAAACGTCATACCAATACGTCATCATGGTCATGCATAACAAAAGGAAAGGAAAGGAAAGTCACGCGTGAGCAAAACAAATCAAGAGCGCGAAAATACTCACGGGACGAAAACATAACGAAGAATTTGTTTGTGAACAAAATGCAAAGAATAGAGAAACGAAGGATTGCTTCGAAGCTACTTCGAAGTAGAATGAAATCAATCACTAGAAAGGACGATGGGGAACTAGACTTCGGCTAACCCAAGCGTGGAATCAGCCACAACGTAAGCAAGCAAGAGAGTACAAAATCATCGTCATGTAATGCAAATTAATAATTGGTTATTCCGAATTCATGTACATGTATTTCATCGCGACGTTCGCGACAGAGCGCTTGCTCGAGCGTTGAACCGGGTTCTCAATCCACCATACCCAGTTCGCAAGGCTGGGCGGGGTTGTGAGCAGGCTTTCATTTCATCTCTAGTTTCTTATTATTTCTTATTATTTCTGCTTTTCATCTCATTACAAAAATTCTGCGCTTTTTCTCCATCTGCGCATAAAATCTAGACTGACAACCTGCTTGTTAAATCATGCACCTGCTTTCAGGCGTAAAAACCCTGTTGTAGAGGTCTCAGTCCTCATTTGTTAGACTTACCTGTCTTTATAAATGTAACTTACTCTCTCTCTCTCTCTCTCTCTCTCTCTTTACTCTCTCTCTCTCTCCCCCCCTCCCTCCCTCCCTCCCGCATATCCTATGATTATGTTTCCAGGTTGCCCAGAAACCCAAGGGGCCTAGCAGCAGTACATGTAATGTCATAGAATACACGCAACAAACTAGAGATTAGAGAACTATGGTTGTGTCAGTTATCTGCATCGGCATCTGTATACTAAATACACGTGATAAAGTACCTATACTTGTCTTGTAAGTACTTGTACTTGTCTTTCCAGTTAATTGGGGGGGGGGGGGGAGGGGGTAGTCCAGTCGATATCCACCCCAGTTTAAAGGCCACACCGTTTTTTATCGATGTTTCGCGTCCCCGCGCGCATGTATTTCACAGCCGGAGTTTAAAAAAAAAATTTAACGGAACAAAATTTTTTTTGGAAAATGCAATACAAATTTAATGCAAACCCAGAAAACCGGAAAATGTAACCCAAAAGGAAAAAACGGAACATGATTGTTACACGTAACTACCGGTATTATGTTGGCATCAATTAAATATTTGTTCTATTTATCGCATGATTGTACTCAGCTCACACACATGTACATGTACATGTACATGTACATGTGTGTGTAATAAGCTGGGCCGTAAGTCACACAATCATCATGCCGCCTGTGTTTGGACCACAAGCATGGCAGAGGGGATACACTCATGTATTCATGTACATGTCAATGTACATGAACAGTGCCGCGTCGCTTCACTGTGCACAAATGCAATGCACGTACACTGTTTTTTTGGATGGCTTTTTTTTCGCCCTCCCTCATTGATTTCATCGAATACGGTGACGCGAAACATAGAAAAAAACGGCGTGGCCTTACATGCCTGCAACACAATCCATTCATCTAGTTTACTTACCTTTGGATCATGAAGGCGAACGGTGGAGCTGGTCATAGATAGCGTGATTTTGCTGTCTGTCTTTATCTCTCTAGACACGAAGGCATAAGAAAGCAAAAAAAAGATGTTGCCAGAAACCAGCTTATGCCGTAATTCCTGCCAAGTGCCGTGCTGTTCTCACATTTGCTCATAAGGCAGAAGGCTGATGGGTGCTGGTAATGGCAGTTGCGTGCTGGAGTGCAGGGTTCGTGCTCACCTGGCTGTTTAGTCTGATATGTGCATGACATTGTCTGGAGTGCAGGGGTCGTGCTCACCTGGCTGTTTAGTCTGATATGTGCATGACATTGTCTGGAGTGCAGGGTTCGTGCTCACCTGGCTGTTTAGTCTGATATGTGCATGACATTGTCTGGAGTGCAGGGTTCGTGCTCACCTGGCTGTTTAGTCTGATATGTGCATGACATTGTCTGGAGTGCAGGGGTCGTGCTCACCTGGCTGTTTAGTCTGATATGTGCATGACATTGTCTGGAGTGCAGGGTTCGTGCTCACCTGGCTGTTTAGTCTGATATGTGCATGACATTGTCTGGAGTGCAGGGTTCGTGCTCACCTGGCTGTTTAGTCTGATATGTGCATGACACTGTCTGTATTCTTGGTGTAGTACTTTCGCTATACAGTATTATGTTGGTCATTTGATGGGTGACTTACTCACTTCTTTGTTTTCCTTCTCTTGTTTTTCTCTCGCCTGAGCTGTTACACGAGTTGGGTTAAAGGGAAACTGAACGCCAAAAATAAGTATGGCTTATCCGAAGGAGAATTGGGCACTAATTCCGATGAGCTATGTCTCGAGCCGATCAGAGAAGAGGAACTGCATCAAATTTCATAAATAACACCTCCCATATTTGGAAATTGGCCTTGATGACGTGCGTACTGCTTAGCTGTCACCATGCTGTGCATGTTCAGCAGTGTAATTGAATGGAAGAAAACAATTACTTTGGTGTTTTGCAGCTCTGTTTCGTTCCCTGACGGTAACCAAATCTAGATGTAGGAATCTGTTGAGCAGGAGAGTGACACATGTCTTCCCGAAGGCTGTCCAGGCTGCAGTGGTGATGAAGAAGACACGATCATCACCCCGAGATCGATCGTAGCGAATTGGAAAACTCATGGTGAATTTGCTTCCACTCCAAGGCAATGTCGAGGTATGAAGGGTGCTTGTACTGCCTTCCAAAGTGAAGAGGAGATGAACATGGCTTTGCATAGCTGTTGTTCTATGCCAACTTACCTACTCTTGCTGGTACCGTAGTGGCATATTGCAAATTTCGTGGACGAACAACTCTAGTCACTAGTGGCTAGTGAGCAACACTAACAGGTGAGATTATTCAATTCGACAAAAATTGTTTTTGTTTGAGAACTGACAGTGGCAGTCATTAGACTCAGTAGGTGTCTCTCTGGTGCTTCTTTCCCTTCATCGGTAGGGTTGTGCTTGAAGTAAAAATAAATAGAAAATGTGGAACAAAAATCTGATCCTGTAATTCGAATTTGAACTTCAAAGTACGTGTACATCAAATCACAAAATGACTGTAAAGGTGGTGCTGTGCATTGAGAAAGACTGGGAGCTGGCAGCAATGGAAAGGGTAGAAACGAAACCAGTAATGCAGAGTATTCATAAGGTAGAGGGAGATGAAAACGGGAGAGGAGTAGTGAGCACTTCAGTTTGAAGTAGTGTCAATACTCAATAGACAGCATCGTGTTGCTGACGTTGTGAATATTGTGTGAATCTAATAATTGTCACGAAATTGATATCCAAAATTATTATCCCCTGAGTAGTATTATGGTGTTCTCCTGTGTTTACATGCAGAGCCTTGACGTTGCTGGACGAGCGACAATATAAATTACATAAACATGTAGCTCGTGATGTGGGATGACTGCCGTATCGCATTGCCAACGCAAACCCATCCTGTGTCAGTGCAGCCATCCAGCAACTTGAACTCCCCGGACCAGATGCCGCTGCAGATGAACACCATGCCGATGGAAAGCCAGGAGTTGATAGCGAAGCATTCTGGTCTGCACAGTACAAGGCAAAGAACAATTATGAATTATAATGCATTGTAATCTTTCCCACACTTCTTTGTAAAAACAAACAAACAGTGCCATTATCACAACACTTGATCAAGCATCTTGATGGAGGTATTTTCCATTGTGCTGGCTCAGCATCTGCACCAGGAAGACCATGTACACTTACACGTATCTTGTGTGTGTGTGTTCGTGCGTGTGTGTTTGCGTATCTGTATGTGCACACGTGTATGTGGGGGGGGGGGGGCACGCACATGTGTATGGGTAGGAGTGTGTGTGTGGGGGGGGGGGGGGGGGGTACACGCACATGTGTATGGATGTGCGCGCTGCATGCGTGTGTCTGTGGGGTGGGGTGGGGTGCACGCACATGTGTACATGTGTGTGCGCAATACAGCATGTGTGTATGTGTTCGTTGAACACAGGGTGTACTCCTGATTACATAAACTTCGTGATCATTGTGATTTCATGTGCTTCGAAGTCGAACTTCGCAATACATGTACTGATGCTTGATTAGATTTATGTTCCACATGTTCTATTTATTTTATTTTACTTCAAGCACTTGTACTATTCAAGCACAACCCTACCAATGAAGGGAAAGAAGCAGCAAAGACACCTACTGAGTCTAATGACTGCCACTGTCAGTTCTCAAACAAAAACAATTTTTGTCGAATTGAAAAATCTCACCTGTTAGTGTTGCTCACTAGCCACTCGTGACTAGAGTTGTTCGTCCACGAAATTTGCAATATGCCACTACGGTACCAGCAAGAGTAGGTAAGTTGGCATAGAACAACAGCTATGCAAAGCCATGTTCATCTCCTCTTCACTTTGGAAGGCAGTACAAGCACCCTTCATACCTCGACATTGCCTTGGAGTGGAAGCAAATTCACCATGAGTTTTCCAATTCGCTACGATCGATCTCGGGGTGATGATCGTGTCTTCTTCATCACCACTGCAGCCTGGACAGCCTTCGGGAAGACATGTGTCACTCTCCTGCTCAACAGATTCCTACATCTAGATTTGGTTACCGTCAGGGAACGAAACAGAGCTGCAAAACACCAAAGTAATTGTTTTCTTCCATTCAATTACACTGCTGAACATGCACAGCATGGTGACAACTAAGCAGTACGCACGTCATCAAGGCCAATTTCCAAATATGGGAGGTGTTATTTATGAAATTTGACACAGTTCCTCTTCTCTGATCGGCTCGAGACATAGCTCATCGGAATCAGTGCCCAATTCTCCTTCGGATAAGCCATACTTATTTTTGGCGTTCAGTTTCCCTTTAAGGGTGCTATTTGGATGGTGTTCGCGAATACGGATTTCTCTTTGTTTTGTATTCATCGGTTAACTGGGTTCCGTTGTTTTCTTATTAGATTTTCCAATTTATTTGATTGGATTTTTCCTACTAGACCAGATTTGTCACTAGCACCTTCTTTGCTTGCACTCTTTGAGCTTTTCAAACAGTGTATCACCCAGTTCTGCCCAGTTTGTTATCAAATAAAGGCAAACTTCCCAGTAGTAGTAGCAGTAATAGTAGTAGTCACGGCGATACAGTTTTGTGAATGATTGCCGGATACTCTCTAGAGCATGAGGTGGTCCTTCTTGCTGTGATCTGTGCACAACTGGTTTGCTGTTATACATCCATGCTGTCTTGGTGTCCTTAAAGCTAAATGTGCTCTGTCTACCCTTGCTGGTTAGACAGATCAATGACATTGTGTTCTGCTTGCTCTTTCCTTTGCGTTGGTGTTTTTTTATCACCATTGATTTCACATTGCAATTTCAAATTTGGACTTCACGGAGAATTTCAAAGGTTTAGGAAATTAGAGGCCACATGCCACGTACTGCTCTTTTCTCTCCGAAACTCAACACTTGCAAGCCAGATATGAAAGAAAGAAAAAATCATCAGTCACACCACCGGGACTCAAACCAGGGACCTTGCTATTCGCGAGCAATGCTCTAACCAACTGAGCTACAGTATGACTCTTATCCACAGTGATGGTAAATCTATCCTTCTTCGATCAGTCCATATCTGGCTTGCATCATACTGGCAACTCCACCAATCAAGAGGGCCCTCGGCCATTCGCTTGATATCATGGGGAGCGCATCAAACTATGTCCACTGCGAGCAAATACAAATTGCAATTTCAAATTTGGACTTCGCGGAGAATTTCAAAGTTTTAGGAAATTAGAGGCCACATGCTACGTACTGCTCTTTTCTCTCCGAAACTCAACACTTGCAAGCCAGATATGAAAGAAAGAAAAAATCATCAGTCACACCACCGGGACTCAAACCAGGGACCTTGCTATTCGCGAGCAATGACGGCTTGCATCATACTGGCAACTCACACCAAGCAATAGGCCCCTCGGCTATTCGCTTGATATCATGGGGAGCGCATCAAACTATGTCCACTGCGAGCAAATACAAATTGCAATTTCAAATTTGGACTTCACGGAGAATATCACAGCATTTTCACCATCTTCCCCATCCTAGTAGTATTGTGTAACACTCACACCATCTCACTAACCAAGTGACTTGGTTCTTTGTTTTCCCCTGTCACACATCGCTGTTATTAGGTCCCTGTGTAACACTCGCACTTTCTCATCAGTACAATGTCATAGTATTATCGTTTTATTTGTCTTACGATGCAGAATACAACTTCAAGTCGTAGAACCAATCAAAGCATTAGCGCTAAATGTAGATCTACACGAAGCCGCATGGACAAAGATTGCACTTCACATTATTGTGCTTGCACTGAATTTGACATTACCTGTCTGACAAAGGGCGCGCTCGCACCGCCACTTTCACGGCGTTGGACATGGCGTCGCTTGGACTTGGTAACACAATCAGCTACAGTCTAAATGTCGAGGAGAATCTGCTTGGCTCCAATCTTTACTTCTGAGCTCCAAGCCTCTAGGCAGCCCCGACGGCTTCCCGGAAAGAAAGGAGAGTTTCACCATTCAAGTCGGATGCAGCTGACTGCAGTCCGAAACAGCGTGCTGCCCTTCCCGATTTCCACTTGTATTGCTAGATTCACGATAATAATAAAAGATCATCTCAACTCTCGATTTCGCGGGGGTCCAGGTAGACCTGCTGGCAACTAATAGTAGTAATACTTTCGGGCAAGGCCAGCAGCTGCACTACGTGTTGTACACGCGTGGATAAGTCGGATGCAGCTGACTGTCGACTGCAGTCCGAAGCAGAGTGTTGCCCTTTCCGCTTTCCACTTGCTAGATTCACGCTATAAAAGACCATGTCAACTCTCGATTTCACGGGGGTCCAGGTAGACCTGCCGAGTGCCGGCAACTTTCGGGCAAGGCCAGCAGCTGCACTACAAGCGTCGATAGATCTACTCAGGAGTCAGTACTCTCGTACTACAGTAAGATCGGGCGCCTAAGAACGCAGGGGCTCGAGCGCAGCCTAGGAAAGTTCTTAAAATTTTGATTCTAGCCAGACCGTTCTTATTCACACGCGCGCGGCGAGTCGAGTGACGTCATGACGTTTGTCATGTACATGTACATGTAGTGCAATGTAGTACAGTCGTCCCTCTCTAATCCGGCACTTTATAATCCAGCACCCTCGATAAACCAGCACAATTTTCAGTAGCCAAAATGTCCTCTTCATGCACATTGCAGCGGTAAATCAGATTTGTTAATCCAGCACCCTCCCTAATCCAGCAGATTTTCGTGGCACAAATGGTGCCGGATTATAGAGGGACCATTGTACTTCTAAACTAGTGGGTGTCGTAAATGGGAATGACTGTACATGTAGCAGTTACTGTTTACACGTGTACATGACATGTACTCACCTCCCATACATGTACAATGTAGATCTACGTGTACGTGTAAATTCGCAACTTCGTGTAAGTACATGTGTCGTGCTACGACTTGCTACGTCATAATTCTCACAGTCACCCACGTGGCTTTTGTGCTGCCCACGCTGCACTTTTCCGCAATGTTTTTGGAAGCACTGGCTTTAGCGTACGTTAGCATATTGGCGTACCGTATGCCACGAACCTCACTTTTGCATACGGTTGCCGCCAGCCAGCTTGCCTTTTCTCTTCCTGACAATCTCTCTCTGCTTGCTTGGCCCTTGCCGAAGCACCTTTTTATGGCTCCTTGCCCTGTACTTATTTCTTGTTCATATGTAGTCTGCCGAATCTTTCTAACTGTAACGTGTAAAGTAATCATTGCCGCTAACTGTCGAAGTGTCCGTTGTGACCAGGAAGTGGCCTGATTCGCGCGCCCCCTTAGCAGGCGCAGACCTAAATTTGCTAAATTGGTGACCCCGATATTTCTGTAGGCAAGGCTACATTGTTCACCATGACCACGCCGGCCAGCAACGGGAAGGGCCGTGGAAAACCTTTCCCGGACGCACCCTCAGTTACCAGGGAGGAACTCATGGAGCTCAGGCAACAGCAGCAGGCTCTGCTGGATCAGCTCAACAAGGCACAGGCCACAGCCAGTACCAGTGGTAGTGTTATTGGGAGTAGCCCTGAGTTGGACCGGCCCCCAGCTGTGGCAGCCGTCAGTATCAAGCTGCCCGATTTTTACCCTTCGGATCCCGCTCTGTGGTTTGCCCGGGCTGAGTGTCTCTTCAGTCATCGTGGCATCACTGCCCAGCGGACCAAGTTCGATTATGTAGCTGCGGCACTGTCGGAGCAGTTCTCCATGGAGGTCCGAGAGCTGCTCATCAGTCCCCCGCAGACTGAGCCATACACGACGCTGAAAAGCCAGCTCATCGCCCGCACTCAGATGTCTGAGCAGAAGCGACTCCGGCGTCTGCTCACGGAAGAGGAGCTTGGAGACCGCACCCCATCCCACCTGTTGCGCCGCATGCAGCAGCTTATTGGCTCCAGCCAATTGGATGAGTCGATTTTACGGGAGCTGTTTTTGCAGCGACTTCCGAGCAATGCCCAGCTGGTCCTTGCGTCGACCCCAAAGGCTACAAGCCTTTCCGAACTAGCTGCCATTGCTGACCGGGTTATGGAGACAACCCAGGCCTCAGTCTCCGCCATCCAACGCCCATCACAGGACGACGCTCGGATGTCCGCCCTGGAGCAACAGATTGCTGCCCTGACCGAGGCCGTCAGCTCTCTGCATAAACGGTTGGACGGATCCCGGGGTCGCAGCCCTGGCCGTGGATCTGGTCCACCGCGCTCACGGAACAACTCGCCTGGTCGGCCCGGCCTGTGTTTCTTTCATAGCAAGTTTGGCGACCAAGCTAAGAACTGCCGACCACCCTGCTCCCGGTCGTCAAACTAGCTGGCCAGCCCCTGTTGGCGACCAGCACCGCTGGCCTGCAGACCACATGTCGCCTATTCTATGTCCGAGACCGTGTCACGGGTTTGCGTCTCCTAGTCGACACTGGCGCCGCCGTCAGTGTCTTGCCAACCACGTTCCGTAAAGGCAAGCAGACCGCCGTCATTGACACGTTGCGTGCAGCCAACGGAACTAGCATTCCCACATATGGCTGTCGATCGCTCACCCTTGACCTCGGTCTTCGTCGGTCATTCCCATGGCTCTTTGTGATCGCCGATGTTTCTAGTCCAATTCTCGGAGCTGATTTCCTCCACAAGTTCGGTCTCACTGTAGACATCCGCAACCGTGCCCTGCATGACACCGTAACCGATCTCTCCGTGCATGCCGTCCTAGCTCACGGCCAGGATACTTCGTCTCTAGCACCGCCGCTCACCGAGCAACCGGAGGTGAATTTACTCCTGCAGGAATTCCCTGGACTGACCAATTCTGCAGCTCAGCCCCAAACCATCAAGCATGACACCGTTCACTTCATCGAAACGGTGGGTGCACCCGCCCATGCCCGTGCACGCCGTCTGCCACCCGATCGCCTGGCCGCCGCTAAGGCTGAGTTTCAGCACATGGCTGATCTAGGCATCATCCGGCCATCCTCCAGCCCGTGGTCTTCGCCCCTGCATATGGTGCCTAAGTCAGACGGCGATTGGCGTCCCTGCGGTGATTACCGTGCGCTAAACGCCAAGACGGTCCCAGATCGGTATCCTGTCCCCCACTTGCAGGATTTTGCTAGTTCGCTCCACGGCACTAACATTTTCTCCAAGGTTGACCTCCGGCGGGCATATCATCAGATTCCCGTCCACCCTGACGACATACCGAAGACAGCCGTCGTCACGCCATTCGGCCTCTACGAGTTCGTCCGCATGCCGTTTGGCCTGCGCAATGCAGGCCAGACGTTCCAAAGGTTCATAGACCAAGTACTGCAGGGCCTCCCCTTCTGCTTCGTCTATATGGACGACTTGCTAATCGCTAGCACCTCTCGAGAAGAGCACCTGGAGCACATCCGTACTGTGTTTCAACGTCTCGAGGACCATGGCCTCATCATCAGCCTGCACAAGTGTGAGTTCCTGGCACCGGCCGTCAACTTCCTCGGCCACCGAGTCGACGCTGCAGGTCTCCACACCCTGCCCGAGAAGGTGCAAGCCATTCTTGAGTATGCTGAGCCTGCAACTCTCCGTGCACTCCGTCGTTTCCTGGGGCTAGTGAACTTTTATCGCCGGTTCATCCCCAGGTGTGCGAAAATAGTGCAACCGCTCACTGATCTTCTCGCTGGCCCCAAGACGCCGAAGAACAAAGCTGTCGTCCTCAGTGACACAGCTCGAGCTGCCTTCACTGCCGTCAAGGAAGCCATCAGCGCTGCTACGCTTCTCACGCATCCCCAACCTAACGCTCCGATCGCCCTCATGGTTGATGCGTCCGATTTCGCTGTTGGTGCTGCCCTGAACCAACTGGTCGACTCGACTTGGCAGCCCATTGCATTCTTCTCGAAGCGGTTACAGCCGGCCGAAACACGCTACAGCACATTCAGCCGAGAACTCCTGGCAATCTACCTGTCCATCCGCCATTTCCGTCACTATCTCGAGGGTCGAGAGTTTACAGTGTATACGGACCACAAGCCCCTGACATTTGCTCTCCGCACCGCGTCCGACCGCCTGTCCCCGCGTGAGCAGCGTCAACTTGCATATGTGGCAGAGTTCACCGCCGACCTGCAGCACATCCAGGGCGTGGACAATGTTGTTGCGGATGCACTCTCCCGACCGTCTGTCAATGCCATCCAGCAACCCATTGATTTCACCAAGTTTGCGGCTGCCCAGACCAACTGCCCAGAGCTCGAGGCACTCCGTACTCGTCCAGACACCAGTCTCGATTTCAAGTCTATCTCGCTGCCGTTCTCTCCTGTCCCGCTCTTGTGCGATGTATCCACCGGTACACCACGGCCATATGTCCCAGAAGCATTCCGTAGACCTGTTTTCGATTCGCTCCACAGCATCAGCCACCCTGGCATCAAAGCAACTCAGCGTCTGATCACAGCTCGGTATGTTTGGCCTGCCATTTCTAAGAATGTGCGCGCTTGGACTCGCTGTTGCCATGAATGTCAGCGGTCCAAAGTACACCGGCATACCTCGGCACCACTGTCGAAATTCATGCCGCCTGACGCCCGGTTCGATCACATCCATATCGACCTCGTCGGACCTCTGCAGCCATCCCAAGGTTTCACGTATCTGCTAACATGTGTGGATCGTTTCACCCGTTGGCCCGAAGCAATACCACTACGCGACTGTACAGCCGAGTCAACCGCACACGGCCTGCTACAATGGGTGTCCCGTTTTGGCACTCCATCAGTGATCACCACCGACCGTGGCAGACAATTCGAGTCAAGCTTATTCGCTGCATTGTTGAAGCTACTCGGATCCTCCCGCCTACGCACCACTGCGTATCACCCCCAGAGTAACGGCTTGGTCGAGCGATTCCACCGCCACATGAAGTCCTCTCTAATGGCACAGGCATCCGGCAGCTGGTCACACAATTTGCCCCTGGTCATGCTCGGCATCCGTGCAGCGTACAGAGCCGATTTAGACTGCAGTGTAGCCGAGCTCACCTACGGCACAACACTGCGTCTTCCTGGTGAATTCTACGAGCCCAGCTTTTCAACCTCACCCAGCCCGTCTCACTATGTCCAAGCCCTCCGCACATCTCTGCAGGCATTACGACCCACCACTCCCAGATCCAGCAACCGTTCCGTGTGGGTGTCCGGCGACCTAGCCACAGCGACGCATGTGTATGTCCGCACGGATGCTGTTCGTAAACCTCTCCAGCCGCCCTATCAAGGCCCGTTCAAGGTTATCTCTCGACACAACAAGTACTTCACCATACTGCTCAATGGCAAGGAGGATAGTGTCTCCGTTGACCGGCTCAAGCCTGCATATCTCCCCGACACTGCCGCGAGTGCGCCACCTGTCTCGGCCATCCTGCCAGCGACCACCCCATCTGGGTCCGTATCAATTCAGCATCGTATTGTCCATTGGCA